ACTGAAGAAATACTTCCTAATATCTCTCTGACTCATTTGTGTCTTCAACTTCCAATTGTGGCCTCTTGTTTCTGTGTCCCCTCCCTGGAACATCCTGTCTTTGTCCACCTTGTCTATTCCACGCAGTATTTTATATGTCGTTATCATGTCCCCCCTGACCCTCCTGTCCTCCAGTGTCGTCAGGCCGATTTCCCTTAATCTTTCTTCATAGGACATTCCCCTTAGCTCTGGAAACTAACCTTGTCGCAAACCTTTGTACTTTCTCTAGTTTCTTGACGTGCTTTATCAAGTGCGGGTTCCAAACAGGTGCTGCATACTCCAGTATGGGCCTGACATACACGGTGTACAGTGTCTTGAACGATTCCTTACTAAGGTATCGGAATGCTGTTCTCAGGTTTGCCAGGCGCCCATATGCTGCAGCAGTTATCTGATTGATGTGTGCTTCCGGAGATATGCTCGGTGTTATACTCACCCCAAGATCTTTCTCCTTGAGTGAGGTTTGCAGTCTTTGGCCACCTAGCCTATACTCTGTCTGTGGTCTTCTGTGCCCTTCCCCTATCTTCATGACTTTGCATTTGGCAGGATTAAATTCGAGAAGCCATTTGGTGGACCAGGTGTCCAGTCTGTCCAGGTCTCTTTGAAGTCCTGCCTGGTCCTCATCAGATTTAATTCTACTCATTAACTTCACATCATCTGCAAACAGGGACACTTCTGAGTCTAACCCTTCCATCATGTCGTTCACATATACCAAAAATAGCACTGGTCCTAGGACCGACCCCTGTGGGACCCCGCTCGTCACGGGTGCCCACTGTGATACATCATTACGTACCATGACTCGTTGTTGCCTCCCTGTCAGGTATTCTCTGATCCATTGCAGTGCCCTTCCTGTTATATGCGCCTGATGCTCTAGCTTCTGCACTAATCTCCTGTGAGGAACTGTGTCAAAGGCCTTCTTGCAGTCCAAGAAGATGCAATCAACCCACCCCTCTCTCTCGTGTCTTACTTCTGTTATTTTATCATAAAACTCCAGAAGGTTTGTGACACAGGATTTGCCTTCCATGAATCCGTGCTGGTTGGCATTTATACTCTTGTTCCGTTCCAGGTGCTCCACCACTCTCCTCCTGATAATCTTCTCCATAATTTTGCATACTATACACGTCAATGACACAGGTCTATAGTTTAGTGCCTCTTTTCTGTCTCCTTTTTTAAAAATGGGAACTACATTTGCCGTCTTCCATACCTCAGGTAGTTGCCCAGTTTCCAGGGACGTGTTGAAGATTTTGGTAAGTGGCACGCACAACATATCTGCTCCTTCTCTAAGGACCCACGGGGAGATGTTGTCCGGTCCCATTGCCTTTGAGGTATCGATGTCCCTTAGCAGTTTCTTCACCTCCTCCTCATCTGTATGTATGTCGTCCAACACTTGTTGGTGTATTCCTTGCTGGTGTACCCATCTGGTCTGTCCCCCCAGAGTCCTTCCTGTCTCTACTGTAAATACTTCCTTAAATCTCGTGTTGAGCTCCTCACATACCTCTTGATCGTTTCTTGTGAGTTCTCCACCTTCTTTCCTCAGCCTTATCACCTGGTCCTTGACTGTTGTCTTCCTCCTAATGTGGCTATACAGCAGTTTCGGGTCAGATTTGACTTTCGATGCTAAGTCGTTTTCATACTGTCGCTGGGCCTCCCTCCTTATCTGTGCATACTCGTTTCTGGCTCTTCTACTAATCTCCTTGTTTTCCTCGGTCCTATGCCTCCTGTACCTTTTCCATTCTCTGTTGCACTTAGTTTTTGCCTCCCTACACCTTCGGGTAAACCAAGGACTCGTTTTGGTCTTCCTATTATTTCTGTTTCCCTTGGGAACAAAACTTTCCTCTGCCTCCTTGCACTTTGTTGCCACATATTCCATCATCTCGTTTACTGATTTTCCTACCATTTCTCTGTCCCACTGAACCTCCTGCAGGAAGTTTCTCATACCTGTGTAGTCCCCCCTTTTATAGTTTGGCCTGTCCCCTTCAGTTCCTGTTACCCTCTCCACTTGTAACTCTACTATATAATCAAAACTCAGAACCACGTGATCGCTAGCTCCAAGGGGCCTCTCGTAAGTGATGTCCTTAATGTCTGAACTGCTCAGGGTGAACACAAGATCCAGTCTTGTGTGTGTGTGTGTGTGTGTGTGTGTGTGTGTGTGTGTGTGTGTGTGTGTGTGTGTGTGTGTGTGTGTGTGTGTGTGTGTGTGTGTGTGTGCGTGTGCCCCCACTTCTAAGTATTCATACTGCTAATAAATACCAATAGTAATACCAGTAATTCTAAAACTTACCAATAGTAATTCTTACACTTATCAATTCTACTTATACAATGCAGAAAGTAACTAGGTTGTAAAATTTAGCTTGTCTCAGCTTCAAGAAGTGTCTGGCGTTATCCCTTGCTAGACCGCTTTACTCCTCACACTCTCGTCAACCCTATCTTCACATTATCTACTGAGTGACCAGTATCTAACAGTGGTACAGAGACCAGAATCTGACAACATGCAACCTCAATAGGCGAGCAATACTTGCGCTGGCAGCGGCGCGATGACAAGTTGCCAGATGCTGATGATGTAGTCATCGTACATAGACCTTCTATCACTATTTTGAAAATCCTTCACCCGTGATGTTTATAACCATATATGCTCATACATCCCCCATTCCTCAAGTGGTTTCACTTTTCACTTATGATAGAATACACTTCACATTCGGTGGGCTACACTTTATATTTATAATGGCACACAACTGTCGTGACGTCACTGCTTCAACAGGCCTACTGCTGCCACCTTCCCTTGTTATATATTTTATTTTTTCCTTTCTCCTTTTGCTTATTAACTTTTTCACTCTCACTGTATGGTGCCCCACATTTCACTTGTTAACCAATCTCTCGCAATTCTTGAACACCCGCTTCCACACTCACTTGATCTTTGTATATTTGAATCTGTGTGGCAACAGGAGCCTACTAGACCACTAACGGTTTGGCACTTTGAAATATTAATGATTTTAGGCTTCCTCTCAACTTTTTTTAATTAATAACTTTGGTTATCACTCTTAGGACTGTTCACTGACATTGTCACTACCACTGATTACTGCTAGCATTTGCTGCGCACCTTATTGTGGTTACAGGGGTCGAATCACAGCTCCTGGCCCCACCTCTTCACTGACCGCTACTAGGTCACTCTTCCTTCTCCATGAGCTTTATCATACCTCTTCTTAAAGCCATGTATGGATCCTGCCTTCAGTTCATCACTTCCCAGACAATTCCACTTCCTGACAACTTGTGACTGAATAAATACTTCCTAACATCCTTGTGATTCATCCGAGTCTTCAACTTCCAACTTTGACCCCTTGCTGTTGTTTCTCATCTCTGAAACATCTTGTCTCTGTCCACCTTGTTGATTCCTCAGTATTTTAGATGACGTTATCATATCCCCCTATCTCTCCTCTCCTCCAGGTCAATTTCTCTTAACCTCTCCTTGTAGGACATGCCCCTTAGCTCCGGGACTAGTCTTGTTGCAAACCTTTGCACTTTCTTTAGTTTCATTGCGCGCGCGCGCGCGCGTGTGTGTGTGTGTGTGTGTGTGTTTTCCACAAACACGTTCTTCATGACCTTTACTTTACTCTTTATGCTGCTTGGCCTTATCCTGGCTTCCAACATATTCCTTCCACCTCCTCATCCATCCCCACTGGTTCTTGTCTTCTCTTTATCTTTTCCCCATTCGTTCTTGTCGGCTCCTTATCCTTACATCCCACTGATGATACTTCCTCTTCATTCCCCATCTGTTTTTCTTTTTCCATTGTTTCCGTCACCTATTTCTTCTCATCCCTCTCATTCATTTCTCCTCATCTCTCTCATTTATTTCTTCTCCTCAACCCTCTCATCTATTTCTCATCCTCATCCCTCTCATTTAGTTCTTCTCCTCATCCCTCTCACCAACTTCTTCTCATTCCTCTCATCTATTTCTTCTCCTCATCCCTCTCATCTGTTTCTTCACCTAATCCCTCTCACCTATTTCTTCATTTCATCCCTCTCATCTATTTCTTCTCCTCATTCCTCTCATCTGCTTCCTCTCTTCCAACCTTTCTTATCTCTTACCCGTTTATACTTTCTTTCCTCTCCACCTGTTACTTTCTCCTACATTCCCAAATATGTTACACCCTATCCACCCCATCAACTCCCCTTTTTTTTATCATTCATTCTCCTATCGTCCTCCGTTTCCCCTCACTCCTTCCCTCCCTCCTCCCTCCCTTCCTCGGATCTCCGGCAGCCAGTCCCTCTCCATCTGCTAACACTTGGAGTAATCACTACTGTCTGAGTTAAGAGTTTGTGTTAACTTCCTCTTGTGCTGGTTGCCAGACTAACAACATACTCAGCCTCTAGTCCGCCCTGTATACCTTCTCGTTCAGTTTCTTGTTTAATGCTGGTAATTTTAACTTTTAGTGCTATTATTATTATTATTATTATTATTATTATTATTATTATTATTATTATTATTATTATTATTATTATTTTTATTGCTGTTGTTGCGTCGAGGGAAGAACGCTAAACCCGTAGAAGTCATGCAGCTGGCAGGGGAATGGAAGGCATTCAGATTCGATTCAAAGAAGTGGAGCAGAGGTGCTGTTCCTTAGATCAAGAGCCACACACCGCATTAAGGAACCTCCACTGAGGGGTAACCTTTCGTGGGCTTTATTTTAGATACTGAAAAAATAAAAAATGGTAGAGAGCCACAATAGTTTTAATGTTTTTTTTATTATTATTACATGTACAAGAAACAAAACATACACATGCCTAATATTTTGAGCGTTTTTTCCCTCACACACACACACACACACACACATATATATATATATATATATATATATATATATATATATATATATATATATATATATATATATATATATAATATATATATATATATATATATATATATATATATATATATATATATATATATATATATATATATATATATATATATATATATAGCTAAATCATCTAGTTACACATCATCATTGATAACTAGATCACACTGAAACCCTTGATTACTGAGTCATCTGGCTGGAAGGGTACTCGCCGTTGAGAACAATAAAGAAAATCAATTATTTTGATTTCTTAAATTCATACAGCAGATCCGCTCATATTACAACACAAAGAACTGGATTGTCTTCTCAGAGAGCTGCGAGCTACGAAGTACACGATTTGTCCGTATGGAATATTAATATGTCATATTCTTGAATGCATTTCAGGCCATTGCTTTTTCTCTCAAAGAGCAATATTGGGCTAGTTTTTCCTTGAGAGGTAAGAAACCTTCAGATAACAATATTAGGTTGTTGGATATTGCAAGGAACGTACCAGATAATTAGATGTTTTTGTAGAACAGTATCATCTTACTAGATCCTCTAAGAAACGAACCTATGCTAGTTTGCCAGATATTTTCATACAAATTTTCCAGGCAATGTGTTTTTGACGTGCCATGACAACCTGTCTCCCGAGGTCGCCACTCCATTACCCAGCTCGCTATTCCAGTACCCAGCTCGCCACTCCACTATCCCAGCTTCTTTTCACAGAGAAACCAGTTCTCACTCTCGCAGTCCCATTCCATAGCTCGGTAGCCTCTACCCCCATTGAGGGCCAGACAGTCTCCAGACTCAGGGGTCGCTGCCCAGTGGTCCTCGCTGGACTCCAGTTCCCTGCCGTCAAGCCACGTCCACTTCCTAGGTCCGGTGATTGTTCCCCCGAGCCACACGTACCAGAAGTCTAGGGGATGAGAAGAGAGGTATCGTTGGAGAACTGTCCAGACCGTAACAGGTGTATTATATTCTTCAAAGTATTGTAACAGAAGTGGTATGATGTTCAACAGTGGTAGAAGTATTATGGTGTTCAGCAGTAGCCGTTATCTATCATCTGTTATCTATTTCATCTGCTATCTGTCTCATCTGCAATCTATTTCATTTGTTATCTGCCTCATGGTATATATCTTATTACTATTTATCTCAACTGATACTTATCTCTATTATATAATCATCTATCTCACCTGTTATCTTAACTGTTATCTATCTAATCTGTTATCTGCCGTAATTATCCTTCTAATCTCTTATCTATCTCATCTCCATCTATCTCCTTTGTTGGTAAAAGCATAACAAAAGGATTATCTGAGATGTAGTTTGTTAGCGAATCTGGATTGATTAAGCCACTCGGGGTGAAACGTTTTCTTTCCTTTATTAAAGTAAACGTTTCGCCTGGTCTGTACATAAGTGTCATTTACCATGTGTGGTTAAGTTTCGACAGTTATACACCTGAAAGTGATTATGTGTAATCATGGTAGACCAGAATCAGCTGAGGCTGGTATACCGGGTGCTATCATGGTAGACCAGAATCAGCTGAGGCTGGTATACCGGGTGCTATCATGGTAGACCAGAATCAGCTGAGGCTGGTATACCGAGTGCTATCATGGTAGACCAGAATCAGCTGAGGCTGGTATACCGGGTGTTATCATGGTAGACCAGAATCAGCTGAGGCTGGTATACCGGGTGCTATCATGGTAGACCAGAATCAGCTGAGGCTGGTATACCGGTTATCATGGTACACCAGAATCGGCTGAGGCTGGTATACCGGTTGTTATCATGGTACACCAGAATCACCTGATTCTGGTATACTGGGTGTTATCATGGTAGACCAGAATCAGCTGAGGCTGCCCTGATGGGTAGGCATCTACAACATAAGATTATATTATTTAGTTTATTCCGTAAGATATGCTGTGATAATGGATAGATTACTGTGGATGGAGGTTCGTTGACGTAATGGCAGTATGGGTTGTACAGAAATGCCAGTGACATAAAATACAAAGTGTGTGGGCAGAGACAGGGCCATACACTGGCACACTATGTCTTAGTGTCCGGACATCCAACCTTCCCGGGACACCTCCATGCCAACCCTACAGGATATGGCTAGAAGAATGAATTATTTTTGAAAAGATTGCATCCCAGTAATGACTAATATTACAGTGGGAATAAGATTCTTAAGTATTTTTGAGATTGTACTAACTCCATACTGTATTGTGTCCATTAGCTACACGATGATATATATCCTCACCGAACATAGGTGTATTTGCGGCAGGGCGACAGCTGATCAATTCGGACTTCATGGTCTCGTGTGTCACACAGCAGAAGGGAAGTATGCCAGGCATGAGGAGGTCAATGACATCATAAAGAGAAGCCTCGCCACAGCCCGTTGCCCAGCTCAACGGGAACCCCAAGTGCAGAGGTCTGACGGAATTCAAAAGCGTCCTGATGGAGCCACTATGCTACCTTGGAAGGATGGAAAGCAGATTGCCTGGGACTACACATGTGCCGCCACATTGGCAGACACCTACTTGTCATACTCCGTAGTGGAAGGGGGTGGAGCTGCCAGCCACAGGGAGACCCAGGAGATCCGCAAATATGAAGACCTTCCCCCTTGCTATAACTTCATCCCAATAGGGTCGGAGACCCTTGGAGCATGGGGCAAGTGTGCTCTAAAGTTCCTAATAGAGCTGGGTGAAAAGCTCATCATAGAAACCAAGGACCACAGGGCGACCAGCTTCCTCTTTCAGAGACTCAGTGTTGCAATCCAGAGAGGAAATGCCTGCAGCATTCTGGGCACGCGGCCCACCGCCGGGGAGCTGGACGAAGTATTCGAGATGTAGCTCTGAGTTACCTATGTTGTTTTACTTTCTATCGTATTTTTGTGAATGTTTTGTCAATGTATTTTGTCTTTAAATAAAATATACATAAAATATAGGGGGTGGTAGGAGAAAATTCTCAAACAGCTTCAGGGAGAACCTTGAGCTTTCCATGAAGCAAGTTTATTCTTTTCTCTGAGGATGAGGGTCCCTATAACAGTTCTAGAGGTGGTACCTCCCTATATATATATATATATATATATATATATATATATATATATATATATATATATATATATATATATATATATATATATATATATATATATATATATATATATATATATCTTCTTGAACCCATTTGAATATTCCACTTCCCCTACCATACCATCTTTTTATTCTTTTTGACCAATATTTTATTACATAATATGGTACAAAAGTTATAAGAGATACATTATTGATATAAAGATGGTATATACAGTACATGAGGTGTGAGAGATGCATGTCTAGTACATATTATTACGTGTTTGTCACTGATTATAATGTGAAACTTTCATCCAGCTCCTCATTTTAGCTATCAGAGACCTAAATACAATGTCTTACTACATGATTAATAACATGACAGCTTTTAAGATTATTTTATAAGGTCTATCTGTTCTGCATAATGTCTAGTGCTAAAATGCTTTAACAAATAAAAAAATAAGAATTTTACTGACCTGACCCCAACTTGCGTCGGAGATAGTGCCTGGCTGCTGTCAGGTCCTCTGGGGTGGCCAAGTCACCTCCCTCCTGCTGGCAGCGCTTCCTTGCCTGCTTCCACGACAAACTGGGGTCCTTGTGTGCCCAGAAACATCCGCCAGCAGCAATTTCGAACGGCTCAACGCACCCTGAGAGAAATTCTTTAAAAAATTTCGAACGGCTAAAACAAACCTTAAAGAAACACCCGCATGTGATACTTCAAACAACTCAACAAGACTTAAAACAGCAGTTTCCTTATTGAGCGACTCGACAGTTATTAATACAAGTAAATAACTTGAGACGCAGACTGAAATGCTTCGTGCTAATCATGTGCACATCGCTCTTAGATTCATGAATTAATACTGACAGCCTCTTGGATAGCAGCATTTATCCACTAGGTGAGAATATTTACATAGCGCATTGGTTTCACGCTTAACATCGGAGGATCTAGCCCTGATACCTCTCCTTGTACTGAATGACCCACAAGGGTTTAGTACTTCACATAAAAATGTCAGTCACATTATTTACAGATATAGGCTTAAATACCTTGATGGGCGGGTGTTGGGTCGGCGCTGCCTCTGTACTGGAGCAAGACACTCATCTTGTCTTCCATGGCCTTCACCTCCTGTTCCACCTCCTGCAGCCCCTCCCACTGCCTCGCCACCAGCTTCTCCAGTTCTGACACACGGGTTTCCACTGGCTGCGAGAGTTTCTTCTTGCAGGAGTCTCGTCGCCCCTCGAGTATAGCTGAGATTTTGTGAATGCCCGAGGAGATTGTGTCCAGAGGAATCCGGTGGTCTGCGTCGTCCTCATCTGCGGCTGTAAAAGCCAACACAGCCGTCAGCAGGAGGCGCAGCAGCAGTCCACGTTCGAGTCTCATGGTGCTTAATTGACACTGAAGGGCAGGAGTCAGCTACATCCCCCACCCCCAATAACCCACTTTATATTGCGTTGCCAATACTCACAACCCAACTATCGCAAAATTGATCTTAAACATTCATCGGTTCCTTCAGTGATATGCTTTGGTACTGACGTACTCATGTGAGAGGTATTTACAGAGCTGTAGAATTTGTAAAAATTAGGAGAGGTTCAGTTAAAAATAGTAAATACACGGCGTCTTACTCTCGTGGGCGCCTCTTCCTATACAACATGGCCACCAGTGCCGAGCGGGCCAGGGGCTTCAGTGCTTAGTGCTGCTAGTGCCCAATCAGTCGCAATGAAACCAGCAACTTGGTACAGCAGATCAGTCATGGTGGTGGTGCTGCTGGTAAGTGCCTCCACCCTCAGCCAGAAGACATCACATCAAACACTCTCCGAAATCATGGACAGGATCACTGAACTCACGAAACGAAAAGTTCCTCTCTGCGAGGAACACACAGTGAAGGACGACTATGTTATGACGCAGGTGAAGGCCTTGCAGGAGATCACTGAGTTTCAAAACGGTGTGCTAAGTGACCTTCGCTACATGGCTAGTAAACTGAGTGAGAACATCGACGAATACTTGCCAGGGAATCTCCGGACAAAGTCAGCCTCCGTCACTAGTGTCGTCTAAGATTCGCTGTTACTAGTAAGTGAGACCCGCTTTCTCTCAGACACGGTGAGTTAAATGTGATATTGAGACATTAGCCTTCACCGATGTGGATGGAAAGTAGGTGGTAGGTAAGAAAGTGGGTAGAGCCAGGAACAATGCAACTTACAATTTCATTTATTTTTCCATGTAACCAAAATCCTCAGTTTACCTTCAAATAAGTAAAATAAACCTGGATCAAAGACAATTTATAAAATTAAAAGTCGTGCTGCATGTTTTTGTGTTAAGAAATGCGTTCAGGTGTGCAGTATATCAAAGAAAAGATGAAAGAGGATGCGTCACTCTGGGACACAACAGACCTGGTTGTTAAGAACACGCCAGTAAATCGCTTAATTCTCCCCAACCTTCCCGCCTCATATATGTGATTTATTATGCTATGTTTACAAAAAAATTATAATAATTATTTTTTGTCTATGAATTCTACTACAGTACGTTGCTAGCAAGTAAGCTAAAGCCTCTGATTCACGTAAATAAATATATGTCTCCTCGAAATTTCCAACTGCTAGAAGCAACGTGACAATATTGTGGTATTTCTGTCCTTTTAGTATATTCCTTCTGAACGGCAGCGCCATCTGTAGGGGGAGTATACTTGGCCAGTATTAATTGGTATATATGGTGTGGACAAAGAATATTATTCACTCAGATCACACTTCTCTACAAACTTTGAACAATTTTGTGCTTCTGAGGAAAAAATGTATTTAACATTACGGTTTTTGGGATTCTGAAAACGAATATGACCATAATAACAACACACTGGCTTAATAAAGCTAATACCCAGGACTCAACGGGTAATTCCAGCGGTGGTTCCTGCTGTTGGCCAACCGCTTCCCCACCTAGACTGTCTTGCTACGTGTCCGCTTGAGTAACAATAATATTGACCACTTGACCTCTGTTACCTGTTTTTTTCCCCCTTGACGAATAAACTAATAACAACAGCAATGTTACTGCAGTTCATGTTAGATTACTTTGTGTGTGTGTGTGTGTGTGTGTGTGTGTGTGTGTGTGTGTGTGTGTGTGTGTGTGTGTGTGTGTGTGTGTGTGTGTGTGTGTGTGTGTGTGTGTTAGGTGTGTGTGTGTGTGTGTGTGTGTGTGTGTGTGTGTGTGTGTGTGTGTGTGTGTGTGTGTGTACTCACCTAGTTCTCACCTAGTTGAGGTTGCAGGGGTCGAGTCCAAGCTCCTGGCCCCGCCTCTTCACTGGTCGCTATTAGGTCACTCTCCCTGAACCGTGAGCTTTATCATACCTCTGCTTAAAGCTATGTATAGATCCTGCCTCCACTACATCGCTTCCCAAACTATTCCACTTCCTAACTACTCAGTGGCTGAAGAAATACTTCCTAACATCCCTGTGATTCATCTGTGTCTTCAACTTCCAACTGTGTCCCCTTGTTACTGTGTCCAATCTCTGGAACATCCTGTCTTTGTCCACCTTGTGTGTACTCACCTAATTTTACTCACCTAATTGTGGTTGCAGGGGTCGAGACTCAGCTCCTGGCCCCGCCTCTTCACTGATCGCTACTAGGTCCTCTCCCTCTCTGCTTCCTGAGCTTTGTCATACCTCTTGTGTGTGTGTGTGTGTGTGTGTGTGTGTGTGTGTGTGTGTGTGTGTGTATGTAGGTGTGTGAGTGTGCATTCGCCTAATTGTGGTTGCAGAGGTCGAGACTCAGCTCCTGGCCCCGCCTCTTCACTGAACACTACTAGGTCCTCTGTCTCCCTGTGTGTGTTTGTGTGCATGTGTGTGTGTACTCACCTAATTGTGGTTGCGTGTGTGTGTGTGTACTTACCTAATTGTGGTTGCAGAGGTCGAGACTCAGCTCCTGGCCCCGCCTCTTCACTGAGCACTACTAGGTCCTCACTGTCCCTGTGTGAGTTTGTGTGTGTGTGTGTGTGTATGTATTCACCTAATTGTGGTTGCGTGCGTGTGTGTGTGTGTGTGTGTGTGTGTGTGTGTGTGTGTGTGTGTGTGTGTGTGTGTGTGTGTGTGTGTGTGTGTGCGTGCGCTCACCTAGTTGCCACGGCCCTACTACTACTACTACTACTTTCTTCCTGCCTCCCTGCCTGCCTGCCCTCTGCTGTAGTCTCCAGCAGCGGCCTTAGTAGCATCATCACCTTCCGGTGTTATTAACGGCTTTGGCATGTCCGTCCCTGCACTTGCTCACGTCATCACGTGTGTGTGTATGTATGCGTGTGTTTTAGTTACCATTTTGTTCTGTGCACATGTCCAATAGACACTAGGCCTGGTGTGTGTGTGTGTACTCACCTAATTGTGGTTGCAGGGGTCGAGACTCAGCTCCTGGCCCCGCCTCCTCACTGATCGCTACTAGGTCCTCTTTCTCTGCTCCCTGAGCTTTGTCATACCTCGTCTTGAAGCTATGTAAGGTTCTTGCCTCCACTACATTACTTGCTGGTCCATTCCACTTCCTGACGACTCTGTGACTGAAGAAATACTTCCTAACATTCCTGTGACTCGTCTGAGTCTTCAGCTTCCAATTGTGATCCCTTGTTTCTGTCTCCTCTCTGGAACATCCTGTCTCTGTCCACCTTATCTATTCCACGCAGTATTTTGTATATCGTTATCATGTCTCCCCTGACCCTGTGTGTGTGTGTGTGTGTGTGTGTGTGTGTGTGTGTGTGTGTGTGTGTGTGTGTGTGTGTGTGTGTGTGTGTGTGTGTGTGTGTGTGTGTGTGTGCCTGTGTGTGTGTGTGTGTGTGTGTGTGTGTGTGTGTGTGTGTGTGTGTGTGTGTGTGTGTGTGTGTGTGTGTGCGTGTGTGTGTGTGTGTGTGTATACTCACCAAGTTGTACTCACCTAGTTGTGGTTACAGGGGTCGAGTCATAGCTCCTGGCCCCGAATCTTCACTGGACGCTACTGGGTCACTCTCCCTGAACCGTGAGCTTTATCGTACCTCTGCTTAAAGCTATGAATGGATCCTGCCTCCACTACATCTCTTCCCAAACTATTCCACTTCCTGATTACTCTGTGGTTGAAGAAATACTTCCTAACATCCCTGTGATTCATCTGTGTCTTCAACTTCCAACTGTGTCCCCTTGTTGCTGTGTCCCATCTCTGGAACATCCTGTCTTTGTCCACCTTGTCAATTCCTCTCAGTATTTTGTATGTCGTTATCATGTTCCCCTTATCTCTCATGTCCTCCAGTGTCGTCAGGTTGATTTCCCTTAACCTCTCCTCGTAGGACATACCTCTTAGCTCTGGGACTAGTCTTGTTGCAAACCTTTGCACTTTCTTTAGTTTCTTTACGTGCTTGGCTAGGTGTGGGTTCCAAACTGGTGCCGCATACTCCAATATGGGCCTAACGTACACGGTGTACAGGGTCCTGGCCGATTCCTTATTAAGATGTCGGAATGCTGTTCTGAGGTTTGATAGGCGCCCATATGCTGCAGCAGTTACCTGGTTGATGTGTGCTTCCGGAGACATGTTCGGTGTTATACTCACTCCAAGATCTTTCTCCTTGAGCGAGGTTTGCAGTCTTTGGCCACCTAGCCTATACTCTGTCTGCGGTCTTCTTTGCCTTTCCCCTATCTTTATGACTTTGCTTTTGGCGGGATTAAATTCGAGAAGCCAGTTGCTGGACCAGGTGTCCAGTCTGCCCAGGTCTCTTTGAAGTCCTGCCTGGTCCTCGTCTGATTTAATTCTCCTCATTAACTTCACATCGTCTGCGAACAGGGACACTTCTGAGTCTAACCCTTCCATCATGTCGTTCACATATACCAAAAATAGCACTGGTCCTAGGACCGACCCCTGTGGGACCCCGCTCATCACAGGTGCCCATTGTGATACATCATTACGTACCATGACTCGTTGCTGCCTCCCTGTCAGGTATTCTCTGATCCATTGCAGTGCCCTCCCTGTTATATGAGCCTGATCCTCTAGTTTCTGCACTAATCTCTTGTGAGGAACTGTGTCAAAGGCCTTCTTGCAGTCCAAGAAGATGCAATCAACCCACCCCTCTCTGTCGTATCTTACTTCTGTTACTTTATCATAAAACTCAGGAAGGTTTGTGACACAGGATTTTCCTTCCATGAATCCGTGTTGGTTGGCGTTTATACTCTTGTTCCGTTCCAGGTGCTCCACCACTCTTCTCCTGATAATCTTCTCCATAACTTTGCATACTATACACGTCAATGACACAGGTCTATAGTTTAGTGCCTCTTTTCTGTCTCCTTTTTTAAAAATGGGAACTACATTTGCCGTCTTCCATACCTCAGGTAGTTGCCCAGTTTCCAGGGACGTGTTGAAGATTGTGGTAAGTGGCACACACATCATATCCGCTCCCTCTCTAAGGACCCACGGGGAGATGTTGTCCGGTCCCATTGCCTTTGAGGTATCGATGTCCCTTAGCAGTTTCTTCACCTCCTTCTCATCTGTATGTATGTCATCCAACACTTGTTGGTATATTCTTGCTGGTGTCCCCATCTGGTCTGTCCCCCGAGAGGCCTTCCTGTCTCCACTGTAAATACTTCCTTAAATCTCATGTTGAGCTCCTCACATGTGTGTGTGTGTGTGTGTGTGCTCACCTAATTGTGGTTTCTGCTCCTGGCCCCACCTCTTCATTGACCGCTACTTTGTCCTCTCTCTCTCTGCTCCCCGAGCTTTGTTATACCTCGTCTTAAAGCTATGTATGGTTCCTGCCTCCACTACATCACTTGCTAGACTATTCCATTTCCTGACACCTCTATGACAAGAAATACTTCCTAACACTCCTGTGACTCGTCTGAGTCTTCAGCTTCCAATTGTGACCTCTTGTTTCTGTGTCCCCTATTTGGAACATCCTGTCTCTGTCCACCTTATTTTTTCCACGCAGTATTTTGTATGTCGTTATCATGACTGTTCTGACCCTCCTGTCCTCCAGTGTCGTCGAGCCGATTTCCCTCAACCTTTCTTCGTAGGACATTCCTCTGAGCTCCGGAACTAACCTTGTTGCAAATCTTTGCACTTTCTCTAATTTCTAGACGTGCTTGACCAGGTGT